AGCCTAAAAAAAGACTCAGGGGGCAGATTAAACAGATTAGACAAAGCCAAATAAAGAAAAAGGGAATTGTAAAAGAGATGGGAAGAAATTGTACTAATGAATGAATCTAGAGAGACTAATATATGTTAAATATTGAATTCCAGCAAGAAAGAAGAAAGGATAAAGACAATCTTCAAAGAGAAATTTTAAATTGATAAAATATATCAATCCTATTATCCAAATATTTTTCTGAATCCCAAGCCGGAAATAAAACACCTAGACTCATCATAGTGAATCTTCAGAACCATAAACTCAAAGAAAAGATCTTAAGAAAACATACTGAAAAATTACATTACTTACAAAGAATCAAGATATAGACTGACAGTTATCTTCAACAGTAATAATGGAAGCCAGAAGACAATGGAATGCTATCTTGAAAATGATACACTGCCAAGCCAGAACTTTATACTCAGAGAAAATCTCTTTAAGATTAAAATCAAAATAAAGACATTTTCAGAATGACAAAGTTCATTATTAGGGCCCTAAACTGTTAAAGAATGATTTTAAGGAAAATGATTCCCCAAAGAAGGTCAGAGATATAAGAAATGGTAAACAAAGAAAAAGGTATATATAGCTGGGTGCAGTCGCTTCTGCTTGTAGGAGGACCAAACGAGAGGCTCACTTGAGGCCAGGCATTGAAGACCAGCCAGGGCAACACAGCAAGACCCGATTTCTACAAAAAACAAAATTAGCCAGGTGCAGTGGCACATGCCTGTAGTCCCAGTTACTCAGGAGGCTGAGGCAGGAGGATCGCTTGAGCCCAGGAGTTTGAGGCTGCAGTGAGTCATGATCATACAACTGCACAACAGAGCAAGACCTCATCTCTTTAAAAAAAAAAAAAAAAAAAAAAGGCCCAGCATGGCAGCTTATGCATACCTGTAACCCCAGCACTTGGGGAGGCCAAGGCAGGAGGACCACTTGAGCCTAAGAGTTTGAGACCAGCCTGGGCAACACAGCAAAACCCTGTCTCTATAAAAAAGAGACAGGGTGTGGTGGCTCACACCTGTAATCCAAGCTACTCAGGAGGCTAAGGTGGGAGGATCATTTGGGCCTGGGAGGCTGCAGTTATCTGTGATCACACCACTAACTGCATTCCAGCCTGGGAAAAAGAGTGAGACCCCATATTAAAAAAAAAAAAAAAAAAGAAGAAGAATAAGAATAGAGGAAGGTAAACACTGTGGTAAATCTAAACAAATATTGACTATAAAGCAAGAACATAGGCTGGGCACAGTTACTCACGCCTGTAATTTCAGCACTTTGTAGGACCGAGACAGATAGATTTCTTGAATCCAGGAGTTTGAGACCAGCCTGGGCAACATGGTAAAAATCCATCTCTACTAAAAATGCAAAAAAAATCAGCCAGGTGTGGTGGCACACACCTGTAGTTCCAGCTACTCAGGAGGCTGAGGTGGGACAATCACCTGAACCCAGGGAGATCTAGGCTAAAGTGAGGCAAAATCCCACCACCGTACTCCAGCCTGGGTGACAGAATAAGACCTTGTCTCAGAAAAAAAAAAAAAAAATCAAGAATATTAGCCAGTGGTGACGCACACCTGTAGTCTTAGCTACTTGGGAGGCTGAGACAGAAGGAGCACTTGAGCCCAAGTGTTTGAGGTTACTGTGAGTTATGATAGCACCACTGCACTCCAGCCTGGGAAACAGTGACACCACCCCATCTCTTAAAAGAAAAAAAAAAAAAAAAGAAAGAAAGAAATACAAAAATAATAATCGAATATGCATTTACATAAAAGTGAATGAAAAAGAAAGCAAACAGGAATGGAGAAATAAAGAGAGCAAGAATGGATGATTTTTCCTTTCATTTTTGTTTCCTATTTTATTTGTTTTGAGTCAAGGTGTCGCTCACTCTGTTGCCCAGGCTGGAGTGCAGCGGTGTGATCTTAGCTCACTGCAACCTCCACCTCCTGGGCTCAAGCGAGTCTCCTGCCTCAGCCTCCCAAGTAGCTGGGATTACAGACAACTACCACCGCACCCAGCTAAATGTATTTTTAGTAGAGAGTGGGGGTTTCACCATGTTGGCCAGGCTGGTCTCGAACTCCTGACCTCAAGTGACCCACCCACCTCGGCCTTCCGAAGTGCTAGGATTACAGGTGTGGGCCACCATGCCTAGCCTATTTTTGTTTTCTTTATTCATCTCTTAAGTTTATTCTTCTTTTTACAAAAAAAGAAGCCATGAATGACTTTTTCATTAAGTTTCTTATAACAGCAATCAGGAAAACACAGTCATGCCTGAAGGGAAATGTGGCATCTAAACTGAGTTTAATACATATCAAAAGTCAAAATGATGTGGGTGTTAGACTATTTGCCACTTTATCTATACCTCTGCTATAGTAATTAAAATGTATCATTATTAGATCAATTACTGTTCACTTCAGTCTACCCTGTTGTTGCTCAAGTTATACTTTGTTTAGTTAGAATAATCTAGGTGCTTGGCACATGTGAATTTTCCTAATCTGCTAAGCCTTACCACTTAAATTCTGTTATCTTTTATTGTTGCTGATGTAAATAGTTCTAAAATGATATAAATTTTCATATAGAATAGATCAAAATCACTGATCCTTTCTTGATGGCCCAAGGTCATTGGTATAAACTACTACTACTATTGCTGATACAAAGAAACGCCCTCAGTAGCTGTGGTGTAAGGGCTTTTGTGACTGCCACACTGTCAGGTATTCTCTTCTTGGTCATCACAGTGTTGGCATCTAGTGGCCTCTTCTACCAACCTGTGAACTGATTTTGTGGAGCCATTCTGCTTAGGGCCTCTTTTGATTACACTTCCTGGATACAGCAAGAAAAATAGAATTAGGGGTGGAGCCTGAAAATGTTACTGAATTGTTGCAATCTCATGATAAAACTTTAACAGCTGAAGAGTTACTTTTTATGGAGGAGCAAAGAAAGTGGTTTCTTGAGATGGAATCTACTGCTGGTAAAGATGCTGTGAACACTGCTGAAATGACAACAAAAGATTTAGAATATTGCACAAATTTAGTTGATAAAGCAAAGGCATGGTTTCACAGGACTCCAATTTTGAAAGAAGCTCTACTGTGGGTAAAAGGCTATGGAACAGCATCACATAGTAGAGAGAAATCTTTCATGAAAAGAAGAATCCATCAACGTGGCAAACTTCTTTGTTGTCTTATTTTAGGAAACTGTCGCAGGCACTCCAATCTTCAGTAACCACTACCCTGATCAGTCAGCAGCCATTAATATCAAGGCAAGACCCTTCATCAGCAAAAAGATTACAACTTGCTGAAGGCTCAGATAATTATTAGCAATTTTTAGCAATAAACTACTTAACTAAAATATGTACTTTAAAGACATAATGCTATTGCACACTTAATAAGCTATAGTATAGTATAAACATAACTTTTTTTTCCTGAGACAGGATCTCCCTCCGCCCCTCAGGCTGAAGTGCGGTGTTATGTTCATAGCCCACTACAGATTTAACCTCCCAGGCTCAAGCATCCTTCTGCCTCAGTGTCCCAAGTTGCTGGGACTACAGGTGGGTATCACCACACCTGGCTAATTTCTCTTTTTGTAGAGATGGGGTCTTGCTATGTTGGGCCGCCTGACTGGTATCAAACTCCTGGCCTCAACTGATTTTCCCCACCTTAGCCTACCAAAGTGCTGGGATTACAGGCATGAGCCACCAAAACACTCAGCATAACTTTTATACGCACCGGGAAACCAAAAAACCTATGTGACTCACTTTATTGCAACCTTTGCTTTATTGCCATGGTCTAACACCAAACCTGCAATATCTCCAAGTTATGCCCATACTGTGAAAATTAAATGAGATGATGAGAGCAAAACATACAGTACAAGGTTTAAACGGTGTTTCAAATGTTAACTGTTAACTTTTAAAATCCTAAGTACACTTTGGGAGGCTGAGGCGGGTGGATCACGAGGTCAGAGATCGAGACCATCCTGGTCAAAATGGTGAAACCCCATCTCTACTAAAAATACAAAAAATTAGCTGGGCATGGTGGCGCGTGCCTGTAATCCCAGCTACTCAGGAGTCTGGGGCAGGAGAATTGCCTGAACCCAGGAGGCGGAGGTTGCGGTGAGCCGAGATTGTGCCATTTACTCCAGCCTGGGTAACAAGAGCGAAACTCCGACTCAAAAAAAAAAAAAAAAAAATCCTAAGTAATAATTTCCATTTAAATAGGCTTCCTTAACTATTTTCTCCATGGTATCCTTATGAAAATGCTACTACAGGCCAGGCACAGTGGCTCACGCCTGTAATCTCAGCACTTTGGGAGGCCAAAGTGGGTGGATCACCTGAGGTTGGGAGTTCGAGACCAGCCTGATCAACAAGGAGAAATCCCATCTCTACTAAAATTACAAAATTAGCCAGGCAAGGTGGCGCAAGCCTGTAATCCTAGCTACTCGGGAGGCTAAGGCAGGAGAATCACTTGAACTCGGGAAGCAGAGGTTGCAGTGAGCCGAGATCACACCATTGCACTCCAGCCTGGGCAACAAGAGCAAGACTCCGTCACAAGAAAAGAAAATGCTACTACAAATATTAACAGTGGCTAATATTTCATGAACACTTACTACTATATGTTAACACTGTGCTGAATTCTTTATGGGGAATCTGAATCCTTAGAAAAGCCCCTGGAGGTAGGTATCATGACATTCCTATTACTAACAAACACTCAGAGAGGCTAAATAGCTTGTCCAAATTCATAGGCTGGTAAGTGGGGAAAATAGAATTCATATAGGTTTCACTCCAGAATCCATAATTGTAAGCACTCCCCTAACCTGAGAGGAGCATCAGCTTCTGCTGCTGCTAAAAACTGCTTACAAGCAAGTTGAGAACAAGATAATTCATTTTCCTTTAACCTTATTTTCTACTTGATCATCCAAGGTCCCAGTTGGAAAGGCAGGAGTTTTTTGTTGTTGTTGTTGTTTTCTTTTTTAACTGTTGCTTTTTAACTTACCCACTCACAGTCAATCCCAAGTACTGGAAAATCTTGTAATTCACTTCTAAGCAAGGGCTGGATTTGATCCCACTCTGCCTCCTGAGACACCGTCACCACCTTTGCTTTAAGGATCCGTTCCTCCCACGAAGATCTGGGGGCACTGGAGTGCAGCTGATCATCTTCTGGAGGGGGCAGCTCTCCACTGCCCAGCACTTTCTGCTGCGGCTGCTGGGTCACAGGACTTGTTTTACTCCTTCGGCGGCGCTGGATGCCTTTCCACAGGACAAACCCCCCTACAGCCACACCCAGAAGGGTAGTCACTGTCAAAGCCACTAAGTTCTGTCTAGACATCTTCGACTTTTCTACTCTTTAGAAAAGCATAACACTAATCCCACAATCTGCAAAACAAATGGCAAAAAGATATTTATATACAGAATATAAACCTTTATATAAACAAGTTTTCCCCCTAAAAAAAGTCCCATTTATAATCTCTGTGTCAACGAACTAAAACAACTGCTATAAATTTCCATGTGAAATAGTAGCAATAGTTTGATTTCTTCATCTTCTTAATCTCTGTATTCCATCTCTATCTCCATCTGTACCCCAGGAAATAAATCTCCCTGCCCTCTGATAGTTCCCCAGGGCTCTCTTAATGATATAAAAACATATTAATCAAAACAACAGACTATCTGCACAATGAGAAGTGATCTAGGGGAAAAAAAAAAAAACAATAAGCTAAACCCTCACCTCCAACTGCTGATTAATGGGTTAATCTTTTAGTTAATGGATCTTCTTCAAAGTATTTTGCATTTTAAACCTTTGGTCACCTAATAGTTGAAGGAAAACTTTTGCTTCTCAATTTAAAAAAATCATAACCATCAGTCAGTTGGTGGGGAAATATTTTTTTTTTTTTACTCTCTGGAAGGTGTAGCAGTCAGGGAGTGGTGGAAACAGGCTGAAGTCAACACTTTCTCTTGCTCCAGAAGGCTCAGTGGTTTTCCATAGAAACTGATTTGGTTATTGGAGGGTAAGGCAGGGTGGTAGAAAAGAGAAAGGATCGAAAAAGAAAAAGGTAGAACTTAGACAGATATCCAAGATGCACAGAAGGAGGTTACAAACTGAAGTGTCCACAGCGCCAGGCAGTTAATATAAATAAATGAAGCCACAAAATTGTCCCTTTTTCATTTTTCTGTAACATGTGGCTTTTTCCATATATGGAAAGGAAATGAGTATACAGCACTATTTCTGTACTATTAAAATAACAGTAAAAGTGCAACAGTAATATATAATAAAAGAGGACAAAAACTACCTTCAGAGGCAGTTTTTGTTGAAAGTTCTTGCATTCTGTAAAGCTGTCTACTAACAAATTGCCCTCTTTGATAGCCTCAGCAATGACAAGTGTTTACTCCCTCCTTAGAGCCTGTTAAATAGGTGGAGAGAGCTCTGAGACTCCACTTTACAGTCTTCCCGTGACCTGGCTTATAGAATTATCATCCTGACCAAGGACTTCTGCACAGTTCCAAGTTTGTCAATATATCTCTTCAAATGTGGCATTCAGGTCTATATACAATATTTGAGGCCGAGCATGACGGCTCACGCCTACAATTCCAGCACTTTGGGAGGCTGAGGTGGGCAGATTGTTTGCGCTCTGGAGTTCAAGACCACCTAGGGAAACATGGCAAAATCCTGTCTCTACTTAAAAAAACAAACAAAAAAGTTTACAAAACATTAGCCAGGCGTGGTGGCACGCACCTATAGCTTCAGCTACTCGGGAGGCCGAGGTAGGAGAATCACCTGAGCCTGAGAAGTCAAGGCTGCAGTGAGCCATGATCACGCCACTGCAGTCCAGCCTACGTGACAGGAGTGAGACCCTGTCTAAAACAAACAAACAACAAACAAACTTGAGATACAGTCTAACCGATGCCACGTATAGTGACACTATTACTTCCCAGTAGCTGGACCCTATATTTTATTAATGCTGTATGAAATGATATATTTTTTTAGTAACAGAATCTCATTGTTGGGTCATATAAAGCCTATAGGAAATTAAAATTCACTGACACCAAATCAAGTTCTCCATTTTATATATTTGTAATTTATATTTTGCATTTAAATAAAAAATGCTGCTTCTAAATTTCATCTTGTCTGTTTCAGCCAAATGTTTCATCTATTGAGACCAATTTACATCTTGATTATGTTTCCCTCTCAACTTAAACATAATTTTATATACAAAACTGAATATTTGTTTTCAGAGAAAATAACATATTCTAACATAAGCTTTTATTAATTCATTTTTATTTGGAGAGGTTTTGTAAGCTGCATGTTTTTCTTCCTTTTTAAGCCAAAGGATCATTCAGCAAACCTATATATAATACATTCAATAAGCCAGACACCGTAATAGACCCTGGGTAAAAAGAGTCTGAAAGGCACATTCTGCCTTCAAAAAATTCACAATTTAGCCAAGGAAAAATACACATGATGAACAAGTGGCAAAGAGTGAGATAACACAACAAGTGAAGCACATACAACCACGCAAATGGCTTGTACTTGAGGAAAGAGTGGGGATATTGTTTTTATTTTTATTTTTTTGAGACAGGGCCTCACTTTGTCACCCAGGCTGGAGTGCCATGGCACAATCTCAGCTCACTGCAGCCTTGACCTCCTGGGTTCAAGTGATTCTCCCATCTCAATCCCCCAAGTAGCTAGGACTGACCACAGATGCATGCGAGCACCCCAACTAATATTTTGTATTTTTGGTAGAAACGGGGTTTTGCCAGGCTGCCCAGGCTGGTCTCGAACTCCTGAGCTCCAATGCCCCAGCCAATATTTTGTATTTTTGGTAGAAATGGGGTTTTGCCAGGTTGCTCAAATTCCTGAGCTCAAGCAATCTGCCCACATTGACCTCAAAATAGTGCTAAGATTACAGGCATGAACCACCACATCTGGCCGAGTTGGGGTATTATTAAGAGAAAACACTTGCTGAGAGAGATGGTGTCTGCAGCTGGCATTCAAACAGGAGTGAGAGTGCTCCAGGTGCACGACGCAGATAGGAGGAGGGCAGCCCAGGCGGAAGGATAGCTTGTATACAAATGAAAGGGCAGGAAACATAACAGGATAGGCGACACACTTAAACAAATGTAAAATATAGGCAGGTGCAGTGGCTCACGCCTGTAATCTCAGCACTTTGGGAGGCCAAAGTGGGAGGATCACCTGAGGTCAGGAGTTTGAGACTGGCCTAGGCAACCTGGCAAAACTCCATTTCTACCAACATGGTAAAAACCCAACTTTAATAAAGATTCAAAAATTAGCCAGGTGTGGTGGCCATGTGCTTGTAGTCCCAGCTACTCAGGAGGCTGGGACACAAGAATCGCTTGAACCTGGGAGCAGAGGTTGCAGTGAGCCAAGATTGCACCACTGTACTCCAGCCTGGGGAACAGAGTAAGACTCTATCACAAAAACAAAAACAAACAAGCAAAAGAAGGTAATCTGTGCTATACATGTAAAATACACACCAAATTTTTGAATACTTACTACAAAAAATGTAAAATTTTTTTGATAATTTCCACACTGATTTTTATGGTGATTTCTTTATTGTGGTAAAATATATATAACATAACATTTACGATTTTAGTCTTTTTTTTTTTTTAAGACAAGGTCTGGCTCTATAACAGAGGCTGGAGTGCAATGGTACAATCTCAGCTCCCTGCAACCTCCATCTCCCAAGCTCAAGCCAGCCTCCTATCTTAGCCTCCCAAGTAGCTGGGGCTATCGGTACTCCCCCTACAATGCCCAGCTAAATTTTTCTTTAAATATTTTTTGTAGAGACAGGGTTTCGCCATGTTGCCCAGGCTGGTCTCAAACTCATGAGCTCAAGGGATCCTCCTGCCGTGGCCTCCCAAAGTGCTGGGATTACAGGCATGAGCCAACACACCTGGCCCATTTTAGCCATTCTTAAGTGTACAATGCAGTGACAATAAGCACATTCATACTGCTATGCAACCATCACCATCACCCATTTCCAGAAAAATTTCATCCTTACAAACAGAAACTATAACTCAACAAGAATTCCCTACTCTCTTCTTCTTCTAACCTCTGATAATTCCTATTATACTTTCTATCTCTATGGATTCCACATTAATTTTTTAATACATATGTTGAAATAATGTTTGGAATATACTGGGTTAAATATAGTCATGTGCCACATAACAATGTTCCGGTCAACAACAGACCACACACACAATAGTTCTACAAAATTATAAGATTACAATGGAGCTGAAAAATTCCTATTGCCTAGTGACTTCATAGCCATCCTAACTGTCCTAACATCACTGCACAATGCATTATTCACCAATGTGTGTAATTATGCTGGAGTTAACAAACCTACAACACAGCCAGTCGTATAAAAGTACAACACGTGCAATTACATACAGTATATACTTGACAATGACAAGAAACGACGTTACCGGTTTACGTATTTACAGTATTTTTTACTCTACAGTGTACTCCTTCTACTTATAAAAAAATTAATTGTAAAGCAGCCTCAGGCAGGCCCTTCAGGAGTTATTCCAGCAGGCATTGTTGTCATAGGAGATGGCAGCTCCATGCCTGTTATTGCCTCTGAAGATTTTCCAGTGGGATGAGATGTGGAGGTAGAAGACAGTGATATTGATGATTCTGACTCTGTGTATGTCTAAGCTAACATGAATGTGTGTATTTGTGTCTTAGTTTTTAATGAAAAAGCTTAAAAAGTTAAAAAAAAAATTTTTAATGACCTGAGTGAATTAATGCAAGAACAGAAGACCCAATACTGCATGTTCTCACTTATAAGTGCACATGGAAATAAAGATGGGAATGACAGACATCGGGGACTACTGGTGGGGAGGAGAAGACAGTGAAGGGAGCTGTGGGCTGAAAAACTACCTATGCTCAGTGCCCGAGTGAAGGACTCATCCATACCTCAAACCCCAGCATAACACAATCTACTCATGTAACAAACCTGTACATGTACCCCCTGAATTTAAAATAAAAGTTGAAATTACATATACATATAAAAAGAATGACTCAACCATTGAGAAAGTAGAATGACAACACACAGAATGGGAAAAAATATTTACAAATCATATACCTGGAAAGGGTGTATATCCAGAATATATATAAATTGTTTACAATCAAATAATAATTAAAAAAAATTAAAAAACTGGCTAAGGATCTGATTAGGTATTTTTCTTCTTCAATTTGTTTTTTAATATAATTTTTTAGAGACGAGATCTGGTTCTGCTGCCCAGGTTACAGTGCAGTGATGCAATCATAGCTCAAGACAGCCTCAAATTCCTGGGCTCAAGTGATTCTTCTGCCTCAGCCTCTTGACTACCGTTGTGCTAACTGAAGAGACATGTCC